AATCATTAAACCTTTTAAGGTATGCATTGGATAAGCTAATTTACGTCTATTAGGTATAGTAATATATTTAATTAAAATATTGCTTCAAAATTCAACTCTCTTAATTAAGCAGGTATTTATTAAATGTGATAAAAGAATACATGCGAAATTTTTTTCGCTAAAGAATCTTATTCATACAAATCATTCAATGTTGCTAATTTTCAGCGATTAATTTAATTAATAATTTCAGTAAATAATTATAATAAAAGTTTCTAAATTTCAAAATTTTAAGATCCGCCTAATTTTAATTTAAAAAGAATAATAGAAGTTTGAAATTTGAAAAATCTCTTTAATCTCCTTATCTCATTAATTATTATTATTATTATAATGAATGCATTTGTTGTAGTGTGATCCATTGTTTTAGTCTGATCCATTTGAAAGTGTTTAAGTAAGAGATGACTAATTTTGTTTTTCTAAACTTTTGATGTTTATATGACTAATTTCAAATAGTTATGACTAATTTTAAAATGATGTTTAAAGTGATATGACTAATTTCGCTTTTTTAAAACTTTTGTTGTTTATATGACTAATTTCAAATAGATATGACTAATTTTAAAATGATGTTTATATGACTAATTTTGTTTTTTGTCTTTTTTTAAAATCCGATAATGTCTCTCTCATATTATTTCTTTAGATCTTTTTCATCTCTGCCACCATAATGTAAATAAATGATTTTGTTTCACTAAATTTTCTCCTACATTGTTTATTTCATTTTTATCAATTGAATGATTAAATAATGAACATAGTGAGAGTGAAATATCTATTCAACGGCTATTCGATTTCTTTACTTGACGAATAGTTGAAATTGTTGTAAATTGGAAGGATCGAACGAACTAAAAAAAAAAAGAAATAGGCCTAAAAGGCCTTAAAAGAAAAGAAGCCTTATTTATTTAGCTGCTAATATTCGGCTTTTCACAATCTCTCTCAATAAACAATAAATGTTTTATTTATAATTTCACCTTTTTTAATTATTTTAAAATATTAATAATTAAAGTTGAAATTTTGCCAAATTTATTACTATTGCTATTACTTATTAATTAATCTAAGGCAACTTTTTTTATTTTAACTTACTTACTCTGTTGATCATATATTACAGCCTTAAAATGATTTTGTTACTTCAATTTTACATTCATTAACCTAATTATGGTGCATATATCGTTATATTGTAACATTTATTTAATTATCCTATTGTTTATCTTATTGAAAACTGGAAAGTATTCAATTTGAAAGTTAAATTGAAGTAATTAATTTAAGTTAGTAATTTAGTTGATAAGAGGTAGAGAGATGCCATTCATCTAATTATCGTATTCATCGTTTGACTTATTGGAAATTGCAAGAAGTTAGTGACCACTTCAACCAATTTGAAGTGTTCATTAGGTTATTAATTTAATTGATAAGATATAGAGAAGTCTCATTCATCTAATTATCGCATTCATCGTTTGACTTATTGGAAATTGGAAAAACCACTTCAATCAATTTGAAGTGTTCATGAAATTAGTAAATTAGTAATTTAATTGTAATTTAATTGATAAGAGATAGAGAAGTATCATTCATCTAATTATCGTATTCATTATTCGACTTCTTGAAAATTGGAAACCAATCAATCAACTTAAAGTGATCATTAGGTTAGTAATTTAGTTGATAAGAGAAATCGAAGTCTCATTCATCTAATTATCAAATTCATTATTCGACTTCTTGAAAATTAGAAAAACTTAATGATCACTTCAATCAATTCGAAATGATCATGAAATTAGTAATTTAGTAATTTAGTTTATAAGAGATATGGCGAAGTTTAAAGAGGGAATGAATATTTCTCACACAAATACCAACATGTAAATGAATGATGGATCATTTTTCAAATAATGTCACATATCACATCAATTGAAGTGAAAAGATGGACTATCATTATATCGCTTCACTCAATATATTCAAAAATTTTTCATTCGTTGATACTAAGTTTACTAGAAAGTTGAAAATTTTCCACAATGATGAAAAGAAATTGCTTTTTCTCGAAATATTTCACTACCAAATAAAGCAAATTATTTAATCCATTCCAATTTTTGTAGGTTAAATTAAATTACATCTAGAAATTACTTTAGAAATTTTCTATAAATTTTCCTAGGAATTTTCCACGAAGATGAAAATCTCGATATCTCAGTATACCCACTACCAAATGAGTCATTTAACTTTTTTCCAATTTTTGTAGGTTAAATTAAATTTTAACTATCTAGAAGTTGCTTTAGAAATTTTCCACAAAAATGAAGACCTCGATATCTCGATATACTCACTATCAAATGAATATCATTTAATCTATTTCAATTTTTGCAGGTAATATTAAATTTCAACTATCTAGAAATTGCTTTAGAAATTTTCCTCAAAGATGAAGATCTTCAAATATTCCACTATCAAATGATTCATTTAATCCATTCTAATTTTTGCAGATAAAATTAAATTTTAACTATCACTGCTACAATTATTATTATCACTTTTCTTTCTTTCTCTGATAAAGAACTTTTTCCTTATCATTTTATTTTCTTTTCCTTTACTTTTCTTCTTTTTCTTTCAAGCAATAATGGTCATTTCACGCAGCAAAAATAAAATGAGTGAGAATTTTTTTGAAAGTTCTCAAACAATGATCAATTAGAGCTATATATAGCTTTTTGAAAAGATGAAAATTCACATAAAACCTGTCAATAAATGGAAAAACAGGCAAACGCTGCTGCTAAGATATATTTCAGTTTACTTAATAAATACTAGTATTACAGCTTATTCCACAAGCTTCTCCATTTTTTCATTTCTTTTATTTCTCAATCCTATAGTTAAGCGAGCGATTGAATTGTATGAGTTTTCGAAAAACTTATTCTAATTCATGAATGAGCTCTGAGTTACCATTCATTTCTATAGATTCAAATTCAATTCGAAAACTTATTCTAATTTATAAATGAGTTGCTATTCGTTTCTGCAAATTCAAATTCAATTCGAAAACTTATTCTAATTTATGAGTGAGCTCTGAGTTACTACTCATTTCTGCAAATTCAAATTCAATTCGAAAACTTATTCTAATTTATGAGTGAGCTCTGAGTTACTATTTATTTCTGCAAGTTCAAATTCGTTTAAAATTTTTAGCATTATTTTTTGGAAGTTAAAAAATTTTATGTATCATTAGTATTATTTAAATGTATATTATTTTAATTAATTGAATTCATTTATTTTCATTTTCTTACTTTAATGATTGATTTTAAGTAAAGCATCTATTTTATAAAATGGCTTTCAATATTTGCAATAGAGATAATAATCGTAATCGAAATATATATGTGTATATATATGGGCGAAAATATATGGAGCAATCATAACTTGGATGTGTCTTTAAAATTTATGATATTAAAGTAGTATTGAATCAATTCATAGCAATAGAAGTAAGTACCAAAAGATGACAAATAAAAATGTCTAATTTCAGTTATCTAATTTTATTAGATTATTATTTTAATTCTAATTTGTTTAATTTTTTATTATATTATTATTTCAAAAAACAAAAAGCAAAATTGATATTTTCATTTAAATATTTTTCTTCTATTTTCATATCATCGAGAAATGGATATAATTATTTAAGTTATCCATTTCATATTTTTCATTCATTTGATAATCAAATGAGAAATTATTCAATGCATAAAAATAATGGATGAATAAATAACAATTTTAACTTATTATATATTTATTACAAATTTAAATTTAGGAAAAGCAAAAGGGAAAGATTTTGCAGGTGATAAATTATTAGTAATTTGATAAGGCGAAGCTAACAAATTTCATTTCTCCTTTCGTATCTTTATTTATCACTTATTATTATTATCTCTTTTTTTTTCTCTTCCATTCATTGTTATCAGTATTGAATTTGTTTAAATAAACGAATGAAATTATTTTAGTTTTATTTTTGGATATATTTTAATAGCTTTACTATGCTATTTATATTGAGCATTACTTGCACTTTTAATTTATTTAACTTTTCATTTGTTTATGATATTATTGGAGAGAGTTTATTTATTGGCTTTTATTTCTAAATATTTAGTATTTTAAATATTTTGAAGGAAAACAAATGAATATATTTATTGATTAGTTAGAGATAATGGATTTCGAATTTTAGAAATAAGAGATTTGAAAAAATTACAGTACCTGAAATCTTCGCTTATTTTTTATAGTTTGAACTCTGTCGTTTAAGTTGTCAATTTTAAGTACCATAAAGAATGGTATAGCTATCATCTTATAATAAATGATTAGAACTACGAAAGACTTTGAATTTCAGTGTATTGAAAATGATTGTTTAAGAATGATATTACTGTAGTAATGATATTGGTCTGTAATGATATTATTATATAGTTAATGATATTCAACACGTGAAGACAAAAAATGTAACAATCGGAACTTTTAAATTCTACGAAATCGACTAGTGATTTTAATTTCATTACTAAATGTTGTATAGTTAAAAATTGTTAATTTTTTAGTATCAAAGGTCTACAAAACTGCCTTATCACTCATTGCATATTATTATATATTATCCAATGATCGAAAAGAAAATAAATGCATGACTTATGATCGAACAATTTTTCGGTTTGTTTCTGATTTAAAATTGATTCGCTAGCATACTACACTAATTTACTACAATTAGAAGCATTTATGAATTTTCTATCTAATTTGTAATTTCCTCTTATTGCTTAAATATCGGAACTGATGAAAGGATTATTATCATATTCTACAGTGATAAAAAATGATTTTTTGATAAGAAATATGAAACTTTTTGACGTTACAATTTAAAAAGGATAAAAATTCTCATTTAAAGTTTCTTTCTATCTATAAATAAATTCAGGATTTGCTATGGAAGTGATCGATATCATCAACAATTGCCAGTTACATTCTTATTACGTTCCAATTACGTCTCAATTACATTCCTATGCCATGATTTGTATTCCATGGAGGAAGTGTGTTGTTCTAAAAAAACGGAAACATTAATAACTTGGAGCGAAAAGCCGGAAAAACTTCTGCGATCTAATTTTTTGCCTAAACGAAAGAGCAAGGGGCATTCTTGGTCAAAGCATATATTTAATCATTTTGCTTTAGCTAGAAAATTTCGCTCAATATTTGACTGTTATTCAACAAATATACTACGAACATTAATTGCTCAAAACAATTTCTCAGGCAAATTATCAATACTAAAAGAAGCTAACGGAGGAGAATCAAGTAATATTTCTGATTCCGATCTTAGAATCACTTCGTTTATAGAATATTCAAATACTGCCTCATATTCCCGAAATCTAAATTCATGTTTGAAATTAAGTGGATCATTTAGAAATTCTCATGTGTTATCTGAAAGTCTTATCTGTCCTTTTACGCTTTTGAATACACTTTATAAGCGAAAACAAGGTTCAACAAGTTATCGAACGAAATGGCTTATAACAAAATTGTCAACTATAGAAGCAGCATTATCATTATTTCAATTATCACTATCATCTACTTTATCATCCTCATTTTTATCATTCACCATGACAGTCGATATACCATCATCTATGGAGTACAATCGAAAAAGTGTATCAGTTCATTGCACCGCTAATTTTATCCTAAATTATCTCTGCAAACATTCAGAACTCCGTGTTCCTACTGATAGTAACAAGTTGAAATCATCGCTATGGCAATGTGGTTACGAATATTTCAATTTACTCAAAATGTTATTCTTATTAATTATAATGTTAGTAGAAGGATCAAATGCTATATTGCTTTCTGGAGCACCTGGTTCATATGCAAGGTAAGTTACTCAATTTAAATTTCAAAAGTGTAACTTTTTTCAATTGAAATTTTGAACTGACTTAAATTTAAAACTATAATCATTCAATTGATACGACTAACAATGAATGTTGAAGGTATCCCAAATGGATGCATACATTTGAAAATCAACTATCGTTGGATTTTCGCACGAAGCAAAGTAATGCATTATTGCTATATACTGATGATGGTGGAATTCAAGGAAATTTTTATTGTTTTACAATTGCTAATAAAAAATTACAATTGGATTTCAGGTATGATAAGATTTGAATAATTAATTTTCAAAAATTATATTTAACTTATGTTTGCTAGCAATTAAAATTAATAATTAACTAAAAATATTAAGCACAGTTTTTCAATTAAAGAGTTTTACTGAGAGCACCTATCGATTATTAAAATTTTCAATTATTTTATCATGTTATACTTTTCAATGCTAACTTCATACAGCCTATATAAATTCCTATATGAGATTATTAATGATATAATAATCATTCTTTATGATATGATCATATAATTGGATCTTTATAACGAGCATTTATCATTTGTTGCAATCTATTAGAATTATATCTATCTATATTTAGTTTTCTTGAAGAGGATATTAGGAAAAAAAAAAGGAAAGAAAAAGAAAAACGATTGCTACGTTAGAATCATATTATTGCCAGCCGGATACATCATCAATTTCACATAAATTTTCCTGAATTATTCCAGAAAAAGCTTTCCCTCTTTGAATTTATCAATATGATATGCATATTTTTATATTCTTAGCATACTCTTCAAATTCTTTCACATTAATTTTGTTTGCAATCATTGATTTTTTTCAATGTTAATTAAATGTAGTTGACTTTTCCTTCACGTTCACTATTATTAATCAATGAAGTTCAACTTTTTTTCTTCTTAACTTTTACGTACTTTTACATTAAACCGGATACATCCGGTTTGATGTAAAAATCAGCTTCACATAAATTTTCCTGAATTATCCCAGGAAAAGCTTTCTGCCAAACTGCCAAACTAACTAAGTTTTCTGCCAAACTATACGTTAATTTATATTTTTACTATTGAATTTATATTTTTATTATATTAATTTATATATATTTATTTTTATTATTAAAAATAATTTTAGAAAGTTTTGAATAATTTTACAGATTAGGTGATGAAACAAATTATTTATCATCGGAAAGGCCAGTGATTACGATGCAATTGAATGATATAGAAGTGAGCGATTATCGATGGCATCGTCTAACTTTATTTCAGGTTACTTTCATATGATAGCAAAAAAATCATATAATATAATTATAGAAAATCAAGTAATCGAATATTGAACTATACGAATAATTGCAAGAAGTAAGGTTAACAATTTAATTAAGTAAGATTAATGCGGCATGATATCATATCGAATTTGAAATTCTCGAATTACAACAAATGCAGAATGAGTATTCTAATTTGCCTATTTTACAAATATTATTTGCTGAAGCGGTGATTTATGATAGTTACATAGAAATTTCTGAAGCGGTGATTTATGGTAGGTTATATAGAAAATACTGACAAAAGCATAATTAATTAAAATCGAAATAATTTTATATAAATCATTCCTTGTTTAAATTTAGAAAAAAAAATATCTCATTGAAATTGTTATCTTATCTTTTACTACGCAAATATTTCTGATTAAATTAATATCCAAATTATTTAGATGAGATAATACGGTAAATGATTCGCTATATTATAAATCTTCAAATTTATTCTAGGCTTGGGAAAATATAAAATTACAAGTGGATGATACGGTTCTTTTCAAAATTCTCAATCAACGTAGTTTTAGTTTTGGTAATCTGAAGACAAACTCTGATATGTTTATTGGCGGTGTTCCGAAAGTGATTTATTTTCTTGCTTTTGATAAATTTTAAAATTTATTAATTATTGCAATTTCATTCCTACTATACTAAAAAATAAAAGTAAAAAAGCAAAAGTGAAGTTGTAGATATTTTGCTAATTTATTCAATTCGATCTTATCGATAATTTAAGAAGAAAATTTTTAAGGATACTTATTTGCTTGGTGCAATGAGTTCACCATTAAAACGACATACAATTTCGTTTGCAGGTAGAGTAAAAAATTTACTCTACAGGCTTTATCCACAAGGTTACTATTATTTAATTAATTTGTTTTCATTTCACATTTTGTTTACTTGTTGAAATTTCGAATTGTTTACTTATTTATTTTATATTGGTTTTTTTATTTATATTATAGTTATTTGTTATATTTTATATTAGTTATATTATTTATATTAGTTTTATATTTTATATTACATTTTATTTTATATTATCACATATCAAATTAATTGTTTTTTTTTTCATTGTTTACACATATGTTTATTAGTTTATCAATGAATTCATACATATGTATATGTTGTTTACTTACCCTCATTGTTTATATCATTTTTTCATTATTATTGATGAAAATTTTAACTTCTTGCCAGACTTTCAAACATCAATTTTTAGGTGTCACATCACCGCAATTAATCGAAAGTGTTGGTATGAGGCAATCGGATGAAGATTTTTGTAAACTAACAAATATCGCTGATAAAAACGATCATTATTGCCGTAATGGTGGTATTTGTTACAATACAAACGAAGGACCAAAATGTGATTGCTCATTTACCGATTTCCGAGGGAACCGTTGCGAAATAGGTATTTGAAATTTTAATTTGAGATATTTGACGGTGAAGAAACGCAATACCTTCTAGAATCTAGTTTTGGCAATAAAAATGGCAATAAAATTAAACTTTGGCAATTAAACTATTGTTTTACAAACCGCTGACTAATTTAAGTATGAAGTGTGCAATTATTGATTGATTGGTGTTATTTTTTTTTCATTAAATTATTGATTGAATGATAATTTTTTGGAATTCATTTAGCTCGGACTGATTCTGACTTATCATTTAATGGTGAAGAATTGATTGGTTACGATGTAAGCAATAATACGGCTGGAATTATACGCTTTCGATCGGAAAATATTACATTATCATTCAAAACAACACATCAACGATCTCTATTATATATTGGTGGTGATCGCCTGGTATATCTCGGAATTTTTTGAAACGCTTTAAGTTTTCTAATATTAGAAATATCGGAATAGTTTAAATTTATTAAAAAATAACTTCATCTTTTGAAATTTCAATTTATAATTGAATATCTCTAAAGTGACATTTTACTTAGATTATCTTTTTAATTTATTTCTGACACCTTTCTTTCATTGCTTTTTCTGAGCTCCATTTTATTACAGAATTACATTTACATCATCCTGGATGGGAATTCAGTTATTGCAACATCAAAATTTGATGGTACCGAAAAACGTCTAATACGAATTTTGAGCGATTATCCAACAGGTCGATATGATGATGATCGTTGGCATACAGTTATTGTTTTTAGAACGCTAACATTGGTTAGTTTAGTTGTTTCGGTATTAAAATATTTTTGTCTATTTATGAAATTTAGCAATTTTTATTTATTTCAAATTTAAAAGTATTCCGAAAATACTGTCAATAACAGAGCTAAAAATGATAAAATCTTATTGATAAAATTGATAAAATTTTCTACTTTGAAATTTAGCTTCAATATAAAATCAAACTTTAGAAGGTTGCATAAATGAGAAAAAAATTATTCAAATTTAATTTGAGAGAATAAAATGGAAAGTTTCTTTCAATTTCATATCTTTAATGGATTCTTTCGATTCTTATCATTAAAGCACATTTATTGTTGCTTCAGTGATTTAATAGATTTAAAATAGAAAGCTAATTAATATAAGAAGATATGAATTTTGAAAATGATAACCAACTTCAGAAGACAGCATCTGTCGCTTCAGTACATGTAAGTCAGTTGAGGTGTGCGAAAGAAATGAATTCCTTTTTTTCGTTTTTTTTTTGCTAAGCATTTTAGTTAGAAATTTTATTTCCGTAATTTAAGCATGGCTTTATTAAAAAATATTTTCCGTTAATAACAATAATACTGTTTTTCGTCATCCTTTTTTCAGGATCATACAACCTGTTTTATCTTCCATTTTCAATTTCAAAATTTCCGTAAAATTTTTGAGTATTTCAATTCTTACCTCTTTGACCAAATTTTTAGCTTATTCGTTGATAAAATCTTTGTTTACAAAAAAGCTTCTACAATTTTGCAACATTAATTTGATGTGTGATTTTCTTCGAGCGTTTTAATTTCTTCGTGCCAATGCTCACTTTTTTTTAATAATTAATTTAAATTAATTTTTTGTTTCTGATTTATACCCTTCTGTTGTCATTAATGGTGAATTAAACTTATATTTTATAGATAATGGTAGAGGTTGTGACCTTTATTGGCAAAAAGCTTTTGTTTAAATTTGAAAAAATTTGCTTATATTTTATAGATTATGGTAGAAGTTTGACCTTTATGGTAAAAAAATTTTTCACCGTAATCTTTATCCATTTAAATTTGAAAAAATTTTCAAATGATATACTCATCTCTTGCTAACCATAACACATAATCATAATTGTTCTCATTATTATTTGGAAAATTATTGTTGCCAGTTGAGATTAATTAGAAAATCGTAAATTCAATAATTATTGCATGGGTTGCAGAGTGTCCGCTTATATCCATTATCATCTGATAAAGGACAGATATAATTTTTGGTTTTTAATAAATTTGAATTTGACATATCCGATACGTGCATACTTTAGCGTTTTGTGAAAATCTTTAGAAGTATCGTCAAGATGAAAAAATATTTTTAAACAAAGTTTTGCTTTTTCTTCAACCTAAAATTTTCATGAACTTCAAATCTTTATATTTTCAAAATTTATTTTTTCAATGTCATTTTCCCCCCTGCAAGTCTCTCTTTGTTAAATTATACTGAAATTTAATTGTATGGAATGAGATTTATTAATTAATCAGATGTACACTTTTGTGCGATCGGTTATCTGCTTGTGTTTCTTTTAACGAGTGTATTTCATTAATTTTTTAATTTTCTTTTTTGCAAAATTCTTTTTGCTATCGTTTTGTTCAAGAAAGGGAAGCGAATAAGTACCGGAATTTTGTCGTTGATAATTCGAATAAGCACAAAATGAAGGAATGACAAAGTTTCAAATTTTTGATTTTGCACATTTCTGAAACTTTTGAAAAAAGCTGGCAGCAATTTTTGCTATCCTTTCAATACGACAAAATTCTTTGTATTTTCAATTCATACAACATTTTAATTGTTTACCTAGCTATTTCTTTTTTTAGATGACTTTAAGCGTTGATGGCTTAGAAGATGAAATTCGTCAATATGCGCCAGAAATTGATTGGCTTGTTAATTCATTTGCATATTTGGGTGGCATACCAAAGAATAAGAATATTCCGGAAATTAAAGTGGAAAATTTCCGAGGTTGCATGAAGAAGGTATTTCTCTTTTTGTCAGTATTTTTCGTTTAAATTAACCATATATCGAACTTCTGGAAATCATTAAGAATGATATTTCTTTGTTTATTTTTAATGTGCTTTTCTTAATTATTATTTTTTTTTTAATTTAAATTATTTTTATTCAAAAAATTTTCAGATCAAATATGAAGCGGATGCTCATTTGATTAATTTTATAACATTAGCCGATCAGGGATACGGACAATCGATTATACGATCAACAGGCGATTTAAGATTTTCTTGTAGTAAACCAGCAGCAATATATGCAGATGTATTTTCATTCAACACTGGCCAACATTTTATTACTTTACCGAAATGGAATTCGGTAGCCAGCGGAAGTTTGAGTAAATATATAATTGAATTTATGAATTTTTCTATCAATTTAAACTTTGCATTGAAAATTTTATTTGTAACAGTATAAAAGAACTAATCATTCGTTTTATTTTATTTCAAAAAAAGTTTAATTAATTTGTTTATTTTTCAGGTTAAATTTTTCTTTTGTTTTTTTAAATGAAATTAAGCATTATCAGGTGTTATTTTAATTAAATATTAAACGAAGAAAACAATCAATAAATCATTTCAAATGCTTTCATTGGCATTATGGATTTTTGTGATAATTTTTTTTTATCAAATATTTCATAATTTCAGGCTTTCAACTACGAACACAAGAACTTGATGGTCTCATTCTCTATCATGGATCATTACCGACTGCAAAAACTGGACATGATTATCTTGCTTTTGAATTAATTGATGGTCATTTGTTTATGATTATTAATCTTGGATCAGGACATATTAGATTACAGGTTGTTAGTTTTTTTTAAAGTAATCAATTTTTACATTTATTCCAATTTTAACAGAAGGTTTTAGAAGTGAGCAAATTAAATAATTATCATAGATTTTATTTTGAATAAAAATTTTAGGCATAATATGAATTAAATTATAAATTAAAGTTAATTAAGTCGGTAAGTTTTTAAAACAAAAAAATACTAAAATTTGAAAAGTATTATAGAATAGCTGTCACTAAGGTTGCTAAGGTAACAGCTTATTCTTTTCATTCTTAATTTTTTACAGACAACAGCTGAAAAAATAACGAATGGAGCGATATGGCATAATATAACGCTTGAACGGATGGGACGAACTGGTACAGTGATTGTTGATGATATTAAAACCGATTTTTCAACACCCGGTGTGTCTGCCAATTTAATCATCGGTAATGCAAATTCTAATTAATTTACTTTTCATTCATTTTATTTTTCTAGCAAATTTGATCAGACAATATAACAGACTTTATAAGCTTTTTGCTTTAATAATTTCATATGCCATAATTTGAAAGGATAGCTTTGAATATATAATTATAAAAGTTTCATCAATTTTTCTAAACAATTAATAATCATTTCTTATTTCACTTTTATTCAATATTAGGTCAAAATTTTTGTAGCAGCACTTAAAATTATATTATGGTATTTTATCACTTGTGATAAGTTTTGATAAATAAATAAAGGATAAAAATAGGAATAATAAATTTAGTCTATAATAGCATAAAAAAGTTTTCAAAATTTAAATTTTTCCTTTTTTAGGAAGAAATTGTTGCAAATAATGATAGTAATAATAATAATAATAACAATAATAATAATTATAATAAATGATAATAATAATAATACAAATTTAATTATTTAAGAAAATGAAAATGAAATTATTTGATTTTAATGAAATTATCGAAAATATTGAAATTAAAACAAAAGAAATCTTCCAGCATTCTCTAAAACATTCTATTTAAATATAATGAAATAAATGCGATAACAAACTTTATAATCGCTTTTACAATATTATTCAATCGATTATTTACATTCATAGAAGAACCAATCTATTTGGGAGCAGTACCATGGCCAAAAAATGAATCGGATACTATTGACTTTTATGTACCATATCCGATTTGGACAGCAAATTTACGAAAAGGTTATATGGGATGCTTGAAAAGTATTCGTATCAATGGTATTAATCCAAATATTGCAAGAATTTTTGAGGAACAAAAAGACGATATTAAACATGGTAAATTTATAATGAACTTTGATCACTATCACCTAATCCTATATTCTTATATTATCACCTAATATATTCTTACACTATCACCTAATCCTATATTCTTATATTATCACCTAATATATTCCCACACTATCACCTAATCTTATATTCTTATAGTATCACCTAATCTCACACTATCACATCCTATATTCTTATATTATCACCTAATATATTCCCACACTATCACCTAATCTTATATTCTTATAGTATCACCTAATATAATCTCACACTATCACCTAATCTTATAGTATCACCTAATCCTATATTCTTATATTATCACCTAATATATTCTCACACTATCACCTAATCCTATATTCTTATCACCTAATATATTCCCACACTATCACCTAATCTTATATTCTTATAGTATCACCTAATCTCACACTATCACATCCTATATTCTTATATTATCACCTAATATATTCCCACACTATCACCTAATCTTATATTCTTATAGTATCACCTAATATATTCTCACACTATCACCTAATCCTATATTCTTATCACCTAATATATTCCCACACTATCACCTAATCTTATATTCTTATAGTATCACCTAATATATTCTCACACTATCACCTAATCTTATATTCTTATAGTATCACCTAATCCTATATTCTTATATTATCACCTAATATATTCTCACACTATCACCTAATCTTATATTCTTATATTATCACCTAATATATCCTCACACTATCACCTAATCTTATATTCTTATATTATAAATCATACGATGGCAGAATAGTGATATATATATAAAGTTGAAAATTTTATTGCTATGGTAGAATAGTGACATATTCAGTTTAAAATCAATTATTCAATTCATCTATCGTTTCCCTCATTTTGTTATAAAAGAAAAGGAAGAAGAAAAAATTAAAATATTCATCTATCTTTTAGCTTTCCCATTCTTTGATAATATTTCCTGTCACATTCTTTTTTTAAAAAAAAATGTTGACATCTTGCTTCTCTCAACTTCCTTATCGATATTTAAATTCGATGAAAGTACAAAATTTCAAATATAAACTTTAAAGTAAGAATGATAAGAAGAATATAAGTGTAATGAGGGAAATGCTCATTGTATCATTCATTCATATAGCTAATTACTTTAATCAATTTTACTAAAATTTTCTCACACAAAATTTTGCAGAGTTAAATCAGCAATTATCTTTAAACTTTTTTAAATACTTTGTAATCTAAATGTCACCAACAATAATTTTAATGAGTTTGAAATTTTGGCAAATTTTAGAACGGAATTGTTTTTTTCTCTAATTATTGATTAATTCACAATAATCTTTTGCATTTCTATGATACTTTGCAAGGTGTTATTAAATGTATCTTCTAACGTCACCAACAATGATTGCTATGAGTTTGAAATTTCGAAAATTTTAGAACGAAATTGTTTTTACCTCTTGTTTACTCTTCTTGAACAGGTGTAAACAATGAACCTTTTATTTGATACACATTTTGATTAATTAATGCACATTTTGATTAATACACATTTTGATTAATTAGTTTTGAATTTAAAAAATTTTTAAATAACTTCACTTGCTGAATATAATAGATCACATTGATAATTCTGCCTTTTTAGCAAATAGAAAACTGCAATTCAGTTTTCAACACTTTAGATCTCTGTTCATAAAGTTTAATGAAATTAAAGTCTACCTGTTCAATGCGGATAAAAGCTGCAAAATTCTATCGTTCAGTTATTCGGTATCGAAAAACAAGTAATCATATATACTGTAATCATAAGTATGAATAGAGTGATAAATTGACGAGAATCACTATTGCAGGAATTACTCATGGATGTTCAACTAATCTGAATCAGGATTTTTGCGCCGTATCACCGTGTAAAAATTTTGGACGGTGTGAGAACGGTTACAGCAATTTCCGTTGTGATTGTTCAGTATCAACTATGGAAGGACCACTTTGTGATAAAGGCATTTGCTAACGAATCTTCCTATTATTTTCAATTCCTCATTAAACATTTCATGTTCATAGCTCATTTCCCAAATTTATAAATCATTTCTGGTTTAAAATTTAATTCTTCATCATTATAAACAATTTAATGTATGTTATTGAGAGTGGTAGCACCGTTATTCAATAATTTTCCAATGAGGGTCAGATTTGGGTGAGATTTTAAAATTTAAGAACTATTTCATATAAATGGATAAGATTATTAAAAAATATACATTAAAAATAACAAATATTATAGAGCCAGAAGTCGTGGATTTTTCAACGGATAATGTACCACAATCGCTCCTACTCCCAAAATCTATGGAAAGCGAAGCGGAAACAATTGAGTGCAAATTTCGAAGCAGTAGTGAAAGAAATGTTTTGTTGGATACGAAATCAATAAAATCATCAAATCATCGTATTTTACTTTTATTGATCAAGGGAGAACTTCAATTGCATCTTAACTTCAATAATTCTCATCATGTAATTGAATTTATTGTTTGGTAGAATAATAACAACTGTCATACTTCTCCCATAATAACTACAATGCAGACATTTGTTCCTAAATGTAGAAATTTCAATGATCATAGACTCCAAAGAAATTAAACTTCAAACTCAGTGATGAAAGGATACTGGCTAAAATTAGGAATTTTAAACTTTAGCTTAGAGCGCATTTTAATTCATCTTCATGGCTGATTAATGGCATTAGCAAGTTGAACGTATTTTGAAGTTTATTCTCTTCAGGATCTATAAACATTGAAACTTTAAGACTTAGAATTAGATGTATAAAATGTTATTATCAGGAAAGTTATGACATACCGCCCTTTTTTTCTTGCGATCGATTATTTTTGAAAGTCATTACTGAACTTTACAGATAGGTAACATTTCTTTTTAATAAAAGATCAAATAGTAGAAATACTAAGAAATGAAATGTTTTATATTACAAAAGGCATTTACCGAAATATTATCGTTATTCTAGTTAGATTGTTTATAAATTTTGTTTTTGATATTTTTAATTAATTTGGATAGTATTCGAATTATCATAAAAAATATTATACAAAAAATGTTGCAGTCATTCAATTGGGGTAGCAATTTAAATGATAATCGAATTCACTCAGTACGTATTAAACGACGTGGCGAAAAACTTTTGCTATTTTTGGACGGTAAATGGGAACATAATTGTAAGTTTATTGCAATTAATATTATTAAATATGTTTCAAAAATTATTTTAAGATTTTTGAAAAAATAAAATTTTGTTTCTTTCAATTTTTTTCACTCAAAAACTTTTCAATTGAACTTAATTTGTTGAATTTTTTCTGCATTGTTGTTGAATTTTTTCTGCATTACTGTTGAATTTTTTCTGCATTATTGTTGAAAAAATTTTTGTTTATTCTTTTATCCAAAATCGTTCACATTTGCAAAAATTTAATAAATATTACAAAATTTGATAAAAAGAATCTCTTTGTTTAATGAATTGTTTATAGTTTTTTAATTTGAACACGTTAAAATAAAACTGAAGATTTTATAAATTATCGATAAAATTATTCCGTCGAATATTTAGCGTTTTTAGATTTCCTACCGTCCTCTAAGGTATTGGATATTGATGAAATAGCTGCTGGTCATTCATTGCATGCAATTTCATCATTAAATTTTACAACTCATGCAAACAGTACATCGGATGAGAAATTTCGTGGACAAATGATAAAAATGCTTTTTAATGATTATGATGTCTTAAAGAATGCGAAGCGCAGAAGTACTGTGAATAGTCTATCAGTAAGAACGAGTGAATTACGTGAACGATATAAAATAAGAAACAGGTATTTATTAAATATCAATATTTAAATTATTCTTGTTAGAGAAAATTTCTTATTTAAAACTTTCATGATTATACATCATTGCTTTTCATTTAAGCAATCCAAACGATAATTTCAGATGAGATATTTCGATATTTAAATTTGTAGCTCTTGATGATAACATTTTCAAGAAATCAATTTCTTATCGTAATCCTAATGATTTATTTCAATTAATTAAGTTTTAATATTTTTGAATTGTAACTTATTTATGATGATAATCATTTCTTTAATCAGAATAGTTGATTGTTTTAAGTATAATGAGAAAATAAGGAAGTGAAGATTTCTTTTAGTGAAAATATTGCAAACAATTTAAATTTCATTTCATCGTTTTTAAATAAATTTTTAAATTTAGGAAAGCGAAATATTCATCGGTAACATTTGAAAAACATAACGCATATGCGATGATCAACGATGAACGTTTAGCAAATATTGGAAAAATTTATCGAATTTCATTCAAATTTCGGACATTATCATCATCATCAATTTTACTTGCTTTTTCAACTAATTCTACTTACAGTCATGATACGGCATCTTTAGAATTGTATCATGGTCGAATAAGGTAAGCAGCCTCTTCATGTTGTAAACAACGAATTGCTGCTCTACACGAGACGCTGATCTCAGATCAGAGATAGCTGTTCTTTCAATCTGAGAGTTTAATTCTTTCAATCTGTACATTATTAAAGAATGAAAGATAAAAATTGCATCAAAGAAAAGAAGAGAATGAAGAGTTAAAATAAAATTAAAACTACTTGATCCAACGAATCTGAAAGATAAAAAAAATGCTTATTTGAATGAAGCTGTCACTCTCTCTAGCTGTCTCTTTTATTTATTATCACCCTCAGTCACTAATTAATCATTTTTATTATTCATGTGTAATAATGCAAAGATGATTCGTTATTTAAATTTAACAAAAGAAAAATTGATGGATATTTCAGATATACTTATAGCTTCAATTCTCGAATAGAATCTGTATTGTCATCAGATTTGCCAAATGAGGAAGTCTTAAATGATTTTAAATGGCATAGCATCCTTGTACATCAGGTTATTTTTAGCTAGATATTATTATATTATCAATTAAAAACATCTATTCATTCTCTCTGATAAAAATATATTTCTTTTGCGTAGCTGGTTATTAATGGAAGATTGTAAAGTATTATCGTTTAAAAGATAAAAGTGTTTGCTATCATTTCATCTTATTGAAGAATGGTTACATTATATAGTTGAATGCTAACATTAACATTAATAGGTTAATCTTGCATCCATTAGAATCAGAGGTCATTCAATCCAATGATCTTTTTATTTTTCAACATTCTTGAAACTTTTAAATAAAAAAATTTGTCTTATATCCGTATATACTTATATCCTCTTTAATTCTTTTATGTAAAAGTTAATCCGGAAAAATTTTGTATTCCTAAATTAATTTTCTATTACATATCTGATCCGGATTTTGAAAGAAATCTTTTGAAAATCATTACCATTATATATCACTTTTTTCCACATTAAATTGAAGCTAATTTCATTACATAACTTTTGTTATTTTGATGTTACGATGATAATTGCGATTAGTCTTAGACTCTAATTTGACCAACAATCATCCATTGTTTTTGATTTTTGTACGAAAACCTAATCCGGAAAAATTTTGTATTCCTAAATAATGATTAGCCTTTTTCGGCAAAAATAAATTGGCGGAGTATATGTATATTTTTTAGTGACATATTAATTTTTTTAATATTTAATTTCGAATTTTCTGTTTCTTTTTCTTTGTATCACTTACTTATAAGCTTAAGTATTATTTACTTAAGTATAATACATTATAATCGCTTTAGTAAATATCATGTAAAATTTTATAAATTCAAATTTTCAGAAATCATTAGGTGGTGAGCATTATCTGGTGGTAGATAACAGAAGCATAGTAATGGATAGTGTTCAGGGACATACAGTGAATTTAGATACACAATTGCATATCGGGAATATACCATCAGACGTTCCTGGTTTTCCGAGGTATTATTGATTTTACATTGGAAATCGGAGAGAATTAAATAAATAGTTTTTTCGTGATACTTTAGAAATATTTTTTCACAATTTCATTGTTCCAATTATATTTACAAGATTGTTATGCTCCACAATTGCTATGATAATAGTAATTAATTAAAATTTAGACTTAGGGAGGTTCCCGGCTTCCGCGGATGCATCTCTTCATTACGGATTGGAAATGAATATCTGGATATCTTGAAAGATGCTATCGAAAGTTTTGGTATTGCTAAAGGATGCCATGGTAAAGGGCCAAGTCATATTTTAAAAATTCCAATATAGTCAAAATTTTTTGGCTTCTAGCTAATCCTACATTTCATTCAATTGCTAAAGTTTCCAGCTGCACTGTTTTGTATGTCTAACTAAAAGCAACATTTTGGAATTTGGCATTTTAAATATTTATATATTTTTGTCAGCTAAAATACAGCATTGTTTTTTTGATCAAATTAGCCTAGAGATTTCTTAAACAAAGCCCAGAAAATTTGAGTAAAAGGTCTTGGTAGGTCCATATATTGATAGGTCACATTAATAGGTCCACATACTCGATGTTCACCTAAAGCATGCTCAAATCGTGGTAAATGCATTCAAAAATGGAATTCCATCAAATGTGACTGTTCAATGACAACTTATGCAGGCGAAAGATGTGATAGCCGTTAGTTTTAAAGTTCTTTAAAATTAAATTTATTAGCTCTTATTAAAACAATATAATTTGTTATCACTTCAAAGTTTAAGGATTATATTTTTCTTTTTTGTTTCAATTTAATAATTGAAACAATAGTTAATAAAGATAATTTCACTTATAGCTGGTACAACATATATATTTGATTCATCATTATCAGCAATCTACTATGAATATCCACAATCAATAAGACCATCAACAAATCGAGATGAGGTGGCAATTGGATTTCGTACTCGACAGGCTACTGCTGTATTATTAAGTGTAGACTGTAATGTTGATGGAGATTTTTTTACCATTTTCTTGGTAATCATTTTTTTGTTGCAAATTTTCAGAATTGAAATTTTTGGCTTATATCAGTAAAGGACTGATTAGTCCTTTATCAGCAAAGAACTAATCAGTCCTTTATTGATATAAGTCAAAAATTAAATTTAAATTAAAGGACTAATGAAGGACTAAGGACTGATTAGTCCTTAAAAAACATATCCTAATTTTATTATGTTTCCTGAGGATTTAATTATACTAATGAGAATTCAAAAAATAGAAGTAATAATAATATTCGAATTTAATTTGAAAACGAAATTAAATGTTACGCTTCTATTTAAGTAATAATCTAATTTTAAAATTCCTTACATAATGCTTATTTATGCAAAAATATGAAAAGAAAGATTTTCCTATTTTTGCGATCCATTTTTATAATTAAAGAAAAGAAAAACAACGTTGCAGAAAGATGCTTATTTACATGTACGTTACAATCTCGGATCACGGAATCATGATGTTGGTTTTCTGGATGCTTTATTAAATGATAACAAGCATCATGCAGTTATTATATATCGGCAAGAAGCAAATTTAACTCTCTACATCGATAATCATGAACCAATTTATTATTCTCCACCTGGTGATTTATTATTTTTGCATATTCTCTGATAATAATCAATTGTTCTATAAATTTTTCGTATAACTAATATGCAAAGAAATCCTACTAAGTAAATCATTCATTTTAAACATACTATAAATTCAATATCAGTTTTAAAAAACATATCAAAGAAGATACGAATCTTATCATTCTCTTATCACTGATTGATTATAGTTAGTAGACGAGGATTTTGAATCATTCACGAATGAAGTTCAGTGTATATTAGTGCAGTATATGGATCATTAACGACAGAAGTTCAGTATATTAGTAATATATCATTTATCAGGTGGTGATATGGAGCTTGTTACATTAAACATGCAATGGAGAGTGACCATTGGTGCATCATTTAATTTATTACATCATTCAAAACGACGGAAACGTGAACAAATCCATGATAGCTATAATGGTTTCATCTCAGGTGTCAACTTTAATGGCCTAATGATACTGGACATGCTTGCAAAAGGTTTACTTTAATAACATACTCTTTATATTTATTTCCATACTGCACTAAATGAACTCCCCGTTTTAGTGATATTGTCGAAATGACAAATTTGAAACTTTCATATCATACCTAATTAAAAGTTACTTTCTTTAGAAGTAATAGAAGTTATACCCAATTAATTAATTAATATTCGTTAAAAGTAATAGGAGTTACACCAAATTAATTAATTAATTATCGTTAAAAGTAATAGAAGTTATACCTAAATATTATACCTAATTAAAATTCACTTTCTTTAAAAGTAATAGAAGTATAGTTAAATCTTCTGATTAAATGCAATTATATTATTTGATGAATTTTTATTGAAACAACTGCTCATTTGCAATAATGACAGCTGTGTGATGTTGTGGAATTTTAACTCTGTGAATCATTTTTTCATGTAAAAAAAAAAACAATTAATTCAAAAGAATTATCGTCGGCAATTTTATTAATTCTGCAAGGATACATTTTATCAGCAGAATAAAACATTTATGATCGATTAGTAAAAAAAATTTTGGATTCAAATTTTAAATTCCAAATTTCATTCATAGCATATTGAAACTATCAGATGTAATTAAAATGAGAAAATTCGAAGTTTTTTCTTTTTTCCACGTTTCTATGAAAATTTTTTAAATTATCTTTTTTTGTAGGATTTACAACAAAAAAGATTTGAATGTCAATTTATTTAAATCAACTCTTTTATTTCAATTAAGTTTTCAAAATCTAATTATTATTAGATTATAATGAATTAGAGGAAATCAAATAGTTCAATTAGTTTTTTGTTTAAAAATTCATTTTGAAATTTAATTATTGAAAGAGAAAAACTTATATAAAGTGAAACGAATAGATTTTATGAAACGGATAGAGAATTTGAACGGATAGAGATTTTATGAAACGGATAGAGGTCAATTGACTAATTTATGAAACAGATATAGAGGTCAATTGACTAATTTATGAAACAGATAGAGGTCAATTGGCTAATTTAAAAGTAGGCGGAAAAAAATCTGAAATACAAATAGATGTATGAGAGGAGTGGATTTTAAAAGGAAAAGGAAATGGATAGAATGATGACAATTCTCGATCCCCATTTTCCTTTTAGGCATTCATTCACATCTCATCATTTCTCAAGCATTTTCAATAAAATGTAAATTACTGGTCATAAGGCGTACCCCACAACTATATGCTTCCTGTCTTTCAGCAGCAATGGTAGTAAATAATAATAATCTTTATTGTTGGCTTTAATTTGCTCATTGTATCATTGGGATTTTACTTTGCCTAATCTTTTTCACACTGACCATTTCATATTTTATCATAGCTAATTTATCGTAAATTTACTTTTTTATCATTTAAAATGATTAAATTAAATTTTATCGATAATTAGAATATATTTCATTAAGTATTATTAAGTAATCAATTAATCCATTTCATTTATTTACTCTTTTTTTTTTAATGAAATTCTTAATTTTCTTTTGTCTTTTTCTTTAATGGAAAAAATTTTAATTTTTAATTTAATTTATTTCATTTTAGTTTAATTTTGCAAAACAAACAATTTCAATTTATTTTAATATTTCCTTTCCCGAAAAAAAATTTATAATTATGAAATCACTTCTAATTAGTAATTTATTAATAGCAAAATTTATAATTATGAAATCATTTTTAATTAGTAATTTATTAACAGCCATTAGCTCTTTGAGATCGCTTTATTATTTACCGCTTTTAAAAATTTTTTTTCATTTAGAATTGATTGCAATAATAGAAATACGATATATTGCGTCAGAATTCTTAGGAAAATATAAATAATAAATGAATGAATGAAAAGGATGGAGTGAATGAGTGATAAAAACAATTTTCATTAAATTGAAATACAAAATGAAAATTGAATAGTTATTATTAAATGAAATCGATCGATGGATAAATTGTTGATGAAAGAAAATACAGAGAGAAATGAATATAATTTCATTATTAATAATAATAATAATAAGTAATAAGTAATAATAACAATAATATTTATATTAATAGTAGTAATAATGATAATGATAATGATAGCGATAATAAAAATAATAATAATATCAATAATAATATTAATAATAATAATAATAAGTGAATTAATTAAAGTCATATTGCATAATAAATAAACTTATCTATGCAATGCATAAAATCTTCCATCCTTTACTTCTTCAACAACTATCCAATCATAAATTGAGCATTAAAATTTTATATCATTTTTACCACAAATTCCTTTCAGTCTTTTTTTCCATATTCTTTAATTTCATATTTTATAATTTTTAAAACGAACACAAATAGCGCCAATGAAAATAAAAGTTTATGATTGATCAAGTTTATATTTATTGATTAAATTTGTCGACTGATTGATCAAGTTTATATTTATTGATTAAATTTGTCGACTGATTGATCAAATTTATATTTATTGATTAAATTTGTCGACTGATTGATCAAATTTATATTTATTGATTAAATTGATCGATAAATTATCTATTGTGCAAAAATAAAAAATTATAATACAATTTATATGAAGAGAGAGAGAGAGAGGAAGAGAAGAAAAGTTAAATTTAAATAACTAAATGACAAATTTTTTGCGATTTTTCAATGACAAATAAAATAGCCTATTGAAGGATGAAAGTGCTTCTTCCTCTTTTCTTTTTTCTATCAAAATCTATTATTTCCTTGCGATCGCTTGCGATTTTTAAATATGAAATATGTTGACAAAAAAGAAATTAACGAATGAAAGGAAGTTTCCCAACATATTCATAAATGAAATGAAAATCGGTTTAGTTATCCATTAAATGAATATATTTCACTATTCTTTCCTTTCCTGACAGTCAATAGTCAATGAAGGAGCAATAAATAGCTTTACTGAAATGAAATGAAGAAAAGAAAGACAAAAGAGACATTTAAGGTTTTTCTCTTATCGATAATTTCATTCTCTAATGCTTTCCTCTCGTCCCATTTATTTCATCATTTTCATTGAAAAACAAAAAAAAAAAAAAACTACAATTATGTTTTATTCAGTCTTCCGGTTTATTCATTTTTCCGGTTTTATTCATTTTTCCGGTTTTGTGTTTTTAAGTACATTAATTTCTTGTTAAAATTCAATTAGTATTTAAGTAAATATTTGATTAAAATTCATTTTTTTCCATTTTACTCCAAAAATTTTTTCGTATCTTTTTTACAACTTTTTTACGGCATCTTAAATTTTTGAAAAATATTTTGAAATTTTAGTAAAATTAATATATTATATGTTAAATTTGAATTTTTAAAATTTTAAATTGCAAATGAAATATATTTTTGCGATAATTAATGACAATCGTTAATTATCATTGGAATATATCGTCGATAAGCTATGAATAAATTAAATTAATTGCAACATCTTTCGTTGAATGGTTTATTCAATAATGATTTTCAGCAACTATGCAACTAACTCTTTATCTCGAATGTGTAGTTTTATTGTTATTGATATATATATATATATATATGATGATGATGATGATGATGATGATGTTATCATTTGGTGATATATAATGATAATGTTATCATTTGAAAGTGCATCAAATTGAATATGGCCATTATTCAGTTGGTAATTCGATTAATTTTTAAAATTTAAAATTATCAAAAGCTTTTCCAATTTATTCGCTTATTTGTAATGAATTTATTGAAATAGGCTTTAATTAAAATATATCAAATTAAAACATTGTTAAATTTATTTATCCGAATGATAACATTTATCACTATCCTGCTTAATTAAAATATTTCCTCATTATTAATTGAAATTTGATATAGTTACAGTTGAAAGATTTCGTAGTTGTTGCATTAACTTAATTTATTCGTAGCTTATCATTGATTTATTCAATAATGTAATAATGAATTGTTAATTTGAGGAAGTTTAAGGAAGATGATACGATCATATTTGGTTATTCCAAAATAAAATTTTCAAATATTTTTGCAAGCTTAAGCTTATTTTTCAATATGCCATTACACATATTCTCAATTGCTTCATTTGAAGATGAAATGACAGTCAATAATATTAGGCGGATAATTGAGGCATACATCCCATAATATAGGTTTTACCTTATTACATAGCTAATGGTCCTTAAAATGAACAAGTGTCTTTTACCCCTGTCATTCTTAGCCTTTCTTTATTTCCACTTACTCTAGTCTAATGTGTTTCAAGTAGTATACTAGTCTTACTTTGACATTCATCTTTCTCTCTCTCTCTCTCTCTCTCCCTCTCCTTCTCTCTGTTTTTCGTCTTTTCAATCTCTCCTAATATTTAAGGATGAGAAAACTGAAATAGCCTAAAGCTAAAGCGTTAGGCTTTATAAAAGCTTTTAACCTATTCAATGATTTATTCTATTTAAGAAAATAAAAGCCCAATGTCCTTTGGTTAAAAAATTTGAGTAAACCAAATTTAAATTTCATTCATTTTGAAAAGCGAAAAATAAGAAGAGTGAAAATTTCTTTCAAAAAATTTCTTTCCATTTCTTCCTAAATCATTCACAGTAAATCAAATTTATTTTATTTGCTTTATTTTTCAGCATTTCTTTCATTATCTGATTTTCTAAGTGTTGTTTTTATTCCTAAAATTTTCGTCTTCCTTCTCCTCTTCCCCCTCCTCCTCCTCCTCCTCCTCCTCCTCCTCCTTCCCCTC